TATATCTTTTTCTTGTAAATATGATGTTATATTTATAAGAGATAGAGAGATTGTATATACACAGATAAAATCTTCATCTTACCTTGTGGAATAGATGACGATTACAATTAGGAAGGCTGATTTACGGGCAAGAACGCCCCCGAGATCGCCATTATCATTAAATCTTATTAGCATCGTGCAGCTGGTCGGTTATTGTTCGCGTTTTAACTCGTTATAGCAGCGAATCTCTAAAAGAGGCACTCATTAGGCAGAGCGACGCGCTCTTTTTAGCATGGCCATGTTGCCATACCAGCGATGAGATGTTCATTCGGGATGCTTCCGCCGTCTTCGTTGTTAGACAGGGTAGTTGATGAGACGTGGTTCCCTCCGGCGGAAATAAAAATACCTGAAGACGCAACTGCGTCCGGAACCCAAACTTTCCAAGTCGTTACAACGAGCATTCCTTAATAGGAAACTTCGAGAGAGAGAGAGAGAGAGAGAGAGAGAGAGAGAGAGAGAGAGAGAGCAGGGCGCCTCGCCTGTGATTAAACTTCAAATTCTTTGTGTGCTCTTCTCCCTTATATTATTATTTTTCTTCGATAATATTTGCGCACACAACCAGCTCTCTTCTCCTCTTCTCCCTCATCTCTTCATCCCAATCCATAATAAATAAATTTCCCTTTTCTTCCCCCACGCGCTGTGCGAGCACGCGAAACTGAGTATTCTTGTTGCTGTTGTTGTTATTATCGTTGCTGTGGCCACCGTCGTCGCCGCCATTACTGCTGTTTCTGCTTGCAGCAACGTTAAGGGAGTTAAATATTAATTCGCGAACTACAATATCAAGTTGAAACGTAAGCTGAAATGTCACGGTGAAAGGAAAAAAAAAGAAGCGAATCCTTTAAGATTGCATTATCGTTGCAAAATGGCGCCGGCTCTCGGCCGGTCTTGCGTGAAGCAGCGAGGGCGGGCGCGAAAACTCGAGATCACATCGCGGCGGTTAAGTGCGTTAAAACGTTACCACAACACGATGCATACGACACAAATCCAGACTAGCCCTTCCACCTCCCCTCCCCATCTCGCCCGTTTTACCCACTTTCCTACTTTCCCACTTTCGTGCTGTATTCTATTATGTATATAAACGCGCGAATATCGATTTATTTTGCAATGAAGTGCGCTCCCCCTCTCTCACCTCCGTTCCTATGTGTAGTATCTAGATCAAGGATTTTCACTGGAAATTCGAAAATCAGTGACGTCCGTCGGTATATGACTCGCGCACCTGACACCCGCCGCCGCCTCCGCCGGCGTAACACGCGAATAAAAAAATGCATAAAACCGCGGAGGTATTAAGAGGAAGAGATCGCGGCTTTTTACGAGCTGTATTACGCTTAGCGGCGACGAGGGATGGTAAAAACGCATACGTTCTCTCTCTCTCTCTCTCTTTCTTTCTCTTTCTCTCTCTCTCTCTCTCTCTCTCTCTCTCTCTCTCTTTCTTTTTCTCTGTCTCGTCCTTGCTCGCCTGACCGCCAACCCGACAACCCCATCGCCCTATACCCCGCGGCGGTGGCATTCTTGCGGTAATATGTGTGAAATTGCGAGGGCGCATTTTTAGCTGCACATTTTGAGATTGCATTCCGAGAATAGTCTCAAATTTTTGCCGTGTCCGCGAGCCCCGCGGGGAGCAATTTTATCTTGTCGGTGCCGGCGCCCGCGTCCGCTCCTCCGTCCTCACGCGCGGTTACGTACTTAGCAGCGTGAATTTCGCGGAGGAAATTCTACGTTTGCAGCGCGCGCAATGGGAACTTTGGTAATGAAGGCTTTGGTAAGGTAGGCTGTGCGCGACCTACCTAGCTTTCACGGCTGCGTAATACACACGTGTGTGCGCTCTTGTTCTTTTCTCTGTTCGCCGCGTGAGCGCGCGGTTACGCGCTCGCGCGAGTTATCTCCTATCGCTGAGAAGAAGGAGAGGAAAGAAAAAAGAAGAAGCTGGATTCAGCTTAGGTTTCGATTAGGCTGCGATGTGAGGAAAGAGGTGCCAGGTGCAAAGTCACGACGCCCTTTGGAACGGGGTTATCGGTGCGCGTGCGGAAAACAGCACGAAACAATTATTTTGCGACGCGGCGATATGCAGTTCAGCGAATTCACTCGCAGGCTCAACGACCATCGGCGATCATTACGCCAGATCGGACTCGCGCGGTACCAGCAAATTCCCTCGCAAAACACTTGACTCTATGGGAGCGCGTGGCAAATTCGAACTCGACAGATTCGTAAATTACTGTTCGTGGGAGGGTCTTTCTGCACTTTACGCGCCATGCGCCATGCGCCGATACGACACAAACGCGTGAGCGTGAGGGTGCGCGCGCGCGCGTATTACAGTTTAAAATGCGCGCAACTCTCGAGTACGGACGTTTCGATGGCGCTCGTGCAAATGTGTCAGCGTATAAAAGGCTCGCGACTGCAATCGAGGATCGCGAACGGTTATGCAACATCTACATTTATGCAGCACATATATTAAAACGAGGGATAAACGCGCAATAATGAGCGTTTATCGATTCGCTTTCGATAACCGTGCCAGACACCATTCAACACACAATCGCAACGGCGAACGCACAAACTACTTTGTTCTATGAGCGCGGCCATTTTTGCCTGTTCCATTTCGGCTGTTTTACGAAATTCTCAATTTCGAAAGAGTCGCCGCGACGTATCCGCAAACTTTTCAGAATGCTGCTGATGTTTTTTATCGATTATTGTTGCGACTGACTGTACGGAAAAGACGGAGACAATGTTCTCGCTGCGTTTCGCGTGCTAGGTACGATTTTGCGGAATTTTTATTCCTTAATTATTTTTACATATATTTTCTCTAATAACCGAGATGTGAAGCATCATGGCGACGCGGCACGTTCGCAAACTTTTCGTCGACCAATTGTTGCGACCGACTGTACGGAAGAGACAGAGACAATATTCCTCCATATTTTTGTGCTGGACACGATTTTGTAAACTGTGTATTTTTTCTCTAATAACCGAGATATGGACCTGCAGCATCTGCACTGCACAGATGTCTCTGTGGCACGTTCGCAAATAGTCCGGGGATAGTTTAGCAACATAAAATAAAATACACATGTTTGTGCAGCCTAGGGAACGTTTCATCGATTAAAACTATTTTGTGATAAATACGGTTTACTATTGTTTCAGAAAAAAAATGCGCAAACGCATATTTCCGATTGCTAGAATATAGCGACTTTAGATTCTTTTTTGTACACCAACATGTACGTGGTTTATAGAATTAGGATATTGATTAAGTTCTTTAGGTAGTCATTTTTTGACAATCCGCTCACTTTTTCGACTTCAATTATTTGATGGGTGAAAATTACGTTTATTACACAAAATGGCACAGCTGTAGGAAACTTCAATCTAGCTAGTAACACGTCATTGAAGTTTATTCACGATGGAGAATATTAACACAAAAATTCGGTTTTTACTCGACGTTCGCAAATGAGACCTTTTTTTATTGCAATATTCTTTCAATTTTAACGAGAACCTCAATAGGATAGTTTCTATACTCTAAAAAAGCATTTTACGTTTTCCCATTTTTTTTCACGATAAATACTTAAACAACGCTTTTTCGCGAATCCACTCCATCGCCCGAATATGCCTCAACCTACTCACCTCTCGCTCATTCCACTCGTTATCTCGGTCGCGCACGGAGAAGCGCAGTTCCCACAGAAATAATTTCAATTTCTCGGCATTCTCATATTATCGTGAATCGCCACGAGGCTCTTAATCGCCATCGAGGGGCCGTCTCGGGTATCCTTGGAGCGCCGCAATAGTCGTAATCGTCATGCTACGCGGCGTCGCGAAGATAAGCAGCGAGCGTCGCGAACTCGGCATAGTGGCGACGAGCGCGGGCGTTAAGGTTCAAAGAGAAACGAGAGGGAGAAGCGGCAACGCGACCGTCAGGACGAATTGATACGCGCGAGCCTTTCGGCAACGGCCGGACGGCTCGTGTGACTACGCCACGGTTAGAAGGTTTGACCCCGCCGTCGACGCTCGGCCATGGTAATTTGTGCCGCGACAATCGCACCCGCGGGAACCCTTCGAAGCCCACGCCACCGCGCACAGCTACACACATCCATTCGCGCGAAAGCGCCCACCGACACGGGGACGAGGGACGAGCCCGCGTACGAGTGCGGAAGATAAAAGAGGACAAAGGGGGGAGAGAGAGAGAGAGAGAGAGAGAGAGAGAGAGAGAGAGAGAGAGAGAGAGAGAGAGGCGGACGCACGCGGAGATAGGAGAAAAACAGCCTCGAGGTGGATGAAAAAGACGGCAAGGGACGGCCCGTTAGGTGCAGCGACGCGCGATTCAGGTCCGGCCGGTCCGTCGCGCTCGCAACGCCCGGCAATGAGTTTCGGCCGAACCTCGGGGGGGAGTGTAGAATGGTGCCATCGTCCATTTTCTGGCGTACGTTTCAATCCCGCAGCGGCACATGGCCGGGCAAGAATGTTGTGCGCTGCATCCTATTCACCTTCATCATCCTCGCTGCCGCCGACGCACTTTCGCGCTTTCGCGCCACGAGCCATCGCGCCGGCGACGCGCTAATTGATACAAACGTCGTCGTATCGTACACACAGCGCGACGCGAGTGAGAGAAAGGGAGGGAGGGAGAGGAGGGGGAGGGCGCGTGCATTAAAACGGGATATGCCTCGCTGGTCCTTAATTTCGATCGTCGACACCGAACACCGCGTTCGCACGTCAGCGTCGAGCCGTCAGCGGGCTAAATGACGCGGCGGCTGTGATCGGAAGTCGATACTTTCGCCGAGGGCTCTCGAGACGCGTGTTCGGCGGCGCGTGAATGTGACGATGAAAATGTCGAGTTCAAGGCAAGTTTTGAAGAATCCTTCGACGTCGTGACGCGCCACGCCAGCCGGTGCTTTCGCTCTCTCGCGCGATACTCGCTCCCTCTCGCCCTCTCTCTCTCTCTCTCTCTCTCTCTCTCTCTCTCTCTCTCTCTCTCTCTCTCTCTCTCTCTCTCTGTCTCCTTCCCTCCCTATACATTTACTTTACATGGCCCTCAATCATCTAGACGTTAAGACCACACAGCGCGGAGTGTCGAGTTCCTTCCGCGGCCGCGGAACCCTCTTTAACCGCGCTCCGCTGCTGTCCACACTTCGGCTCCGGCATAATACACTCTCGAACAGTTATAGATGAGCCATTATCTCGGGAAAATTCCGTAAAATTGCCGTTATAACGCCGAGTTTGACGAGCTCTCTCGGCGACGAGCCCCGCCCGCCGAGAGAAAATTCGCTCTGTCTCTCGCCGAGATTGACGCTTATTTCTGAAAGAACGATCAGGGAATCGTGTGTTTCGTAATTCGACGCTCGGTTGTTTAATTCTTCAGAGATTCTCGCGGGGAGCAGAAGCTCAAATCGGCGGCCGGTCAAGCTTTATATTAACAAAGTGTTCTAACTTGGGCAGAAATAATATTTAATCGCTCAGCGTTATTACCACTCCCGTGACGTTCGCATTCGTAGAGGCTTTGAACGCTTTGAAGCTTTGAATTTGAGTTATTATTGCGAAAGCAAATTGCTCCCTCCTTGTGTTAGGCTTGTGGCAGATTTCCACATGTAGAAATTGTGAGACTTCTTTTTTTTAACATTTGACACCTTGTGCAAAATAATGTTGCTTCTCCCTCCTCTTTCCTCGGATACTCACAGCGGCCATCTGGGGTTATAAAACACCGTAGAAAAAAAGAAATTACCATCTAGAATTTATTGGCAATAATTGGAATTACGCGGCGAGAATGATCAGAAACACGACCGGTCGTCGCTGTATTTCATCTATCTAAGGGTTCGCGGTTAATTAGCTCATATAACGAGCAATAAAATGTGAAAGAGCCAAGAAGAATTATGCGTCCTTTGTCCTTAGATCCCTACTAATTAGACGGTATAATATAACCGAGCGAGGTGTGATGAATTGAACGGCTTCACTTTGGATACTTTGCTTAATACATTGAATAAGACGAGAGCTTACGGCTCTCAAATTTTAGCACATTGATACGAGAGACTCGGACGGTAAAACGCGAGAATCGAGAATCGTGAGTGGTCGAAGCGATGAACAAAACTCGAGCCTCGAGTAAATTAATTGTTTCCTGCAACCAAAAGAAAAACAGGGAAAGTTGCTCGAGAGCAAGAAAAGCTAAAGGAAAGACAAACTTGTATCATAACGACCACTCGCCGTTGATATTTTAAGATCCTCGAACTCGTCTCGTCTATGCTCCGCGATATCGAAAGTAAAAGCGGAACGAGCCGATGCGCGAATATTTATTATTAACCCGCAGCTGACTATAATCGTGCGCGTCTCCAAGTGTAGTCCAAGTACGATCGAGTTATCTAGGAGAAGCCAAATGCACGGTGCGTCCTTATTCATTCTTAAAACTATTATCGACCCCGCCCCTCCCCCGTGCTCCCGGCCGGCGCCAAGGCACGACTGTAACATTACACACTCCTTCATTACTAATCCCCTCGTATACATCGAACTGACAGCTTTAAATCGGCTTTTTTACTGCATTGAAAACGTTCCCTTCTCAGTCCGACTCTCTAGTCGGATAGGTCGGTAATGCCCTCCCTTTATAATCCAAATTCCATTTCTAGTATCACGGCATGACAAAACCCGCGCTACCCTCCGCGAGCACCGCGACAGCGTACCGTCCGTAATGAGCTCATTTTTTTCAATTACTCCTCGTTTCGCCGGGGTCACTCCCGGCCTGAAGTCTCGCTCGCCCCGTCGCCGTCGCTCGTTGATTTGATTTCGAAGCGCTGCAGTGTTTGACGAAGCGGTGCGAAGCTCGCGTTTCTCAAGCCGCGTTCTTTTACGGTTATTTACGGACGGCGTAATCCTCCGCGTGAAAATTCCGCAAACGCGCACGCACGCACGCGCGCGCGCTCGATGCGATTTCCCATCGGGCAGCAACGCGCGAAGCGGTACTTATCTCCGCTGGCGTCTCGGGCGAATGCAACGGCGACGGGAGTTTTAAGTGCGATCGCGCATAATCGCGCAGTCCGGCCGCACGGTACAAACAGAGAGCCCACAGAGCGCGACACCTCGCAACGTAACATTCTTCGCAGCGCTGATGCCCCGCAGCGAGTTAATCTCAGCATTCTCTAATTCCGGATTACTCCCCGCGCTATAACTCGCGCGACGCTGGTATGTAGAGATGGTAGTTTCCATAGCATACCGCGGCGCGATGCATTGCGCACGCACTGCATCGCGCGAACGCGTGAATATCACGGCGATATCGTCAACGCGCGCTCTCCGGCGCTCTCCGCTATCGGGCGGATATCATCGTCGAGCATAATCCCGGAGAACTCCGGCAAAATATGCAGGGTCCTATCAAAACTCCATATCGCGTCCTCTCTCTCGCCTCTGTTCAAATTCGCCGCTCGAAGGACGCCGAGTCGCCAGTCGGCACGCGACATCGGCGATCCTCGATCCTCGATCCTCGTGCCGGCTGAATCGGCTAACGCGAGGTCGCACACGGCGCGATTCCTCCTTCGAGCGCAAGGATGCACTTTGATGTTACGGCCGCTGACTCGCCGTTCCAGACAATAACGGCACTTTCGTCGGACGGATTTTTCGTGTCGTCACGCGACGCTATGACGTCGAGTATGCATATCGAGAATGATAACCGGCGAAATCCGCCTCCTTGTCCCTCGCGCTTGTCCTCTCTTGCGGGTTCACAAAGGTCAATGGAGGATCCGGGCGAAGTTGTGTGTCGGGATCAAGTTGGAATCGCGTGGAACAACCAACGATTGTTTCGACGCCTCTAGGAGCGTCCTTCCATCGCGGTGTCTGAAATATTTTTATTATTGCATACGCGGAAAAGGAAGATTAATTAACAATGATCGGACAGGACATTCTGGCTCGTGCAACTGAATTTGGTTCGCGAGGAGCAGAGAAATTCGCTATCCTTCGACCAACACGCTTTCGACTCGATCGCTGCCGCGTTCATTCAAGTGATTTCGTTGATGTTCGGCGATCTCGACTAAACATCATGCGCACCTATCGTCAGGGTGGCGTCGATATTCCCCCCTTCCCTCCCTCCTTTCTCGACGGTTTGCGGTTTGCGTTAGAATTCGAAATTCCGAATGTGCGCGAGGGAGAATGCCGTAACGAGAAATGTTAATGGACGCTGATTAAGCCCGTTGTACACGTGACGCGTGTAAACAAACACACGGAGTGAATATGGAAAAGGCCGCCTGTAAAAAGAGAATGTGTGAGAAACACGGAGAGAAAGAGGCGGAGGGCGAGAGGGGGAATTGCGCAGAGTCGGTGAATTCTTGTTTTATGCTTGACCCTGTGGAGATAAGAAGAAAAACTTGGCGGGAAGCACGAAACACATTATGCGCCTCTGTTTACTTCGTCGTTCAACTGTAATAGGTTTATGGAAGTTTCGCAAAACGCAGCAGTGCAATCTGTAGGAGACGCGCGTGTTCTGGAAATGCTGATACGATAATGCCATTTAAAAACGCGTATATATATAAAACGCGTCGGCACGTAGTATTCGATCAAATTTATATCACTACTTTATCGCTTTAGCATTTGCGTTGCTTATTCTGCGCGACGCGGCGGGACGAAAAATGCATTCCATCAATAAATTGACGCACGCTGCGTCTCTCCTCTCGCGCGGTATTCTCTCGGTGTGTATCGTATCAAACCCTAGACAATCCGACCGCGAACACCGAAACTTATCCGCGCTTTTGTTTCGCCATGAATTTCCGCCGAAATATTCTCGCACTATTTCGCGACCCGCGCTCCGCCAATTTCGGCAAAAAATGTTCACATGTTAAGGGGTTACTCGCTCGATTCGGACCGAAAATAGCCAATTTTTGAAGTCAATCTTTTTTCCTTTTTATGGAAGCTATTAAGCGTAGGAGAGCGCGGATCCGCTCGCTTATTTCGTCACGCTTCAAGAACATTTTTAAATTTCTGCATGAAAAAATAATGTGTAATAAAAGAGTCATAAAGCTGGTGGACGCACGGAGCGTGTCAGGTAATGTCTGTCTCATTAGTCGTCACAATTAGGCAGAGCTCTGGTCCACCTGAAACAAAAACAGCAAAGTGGATTTTAATGTAATGTAATCGTTAAAGTCGTCTTTATGGCCCTCAATAATTCATGCAAAATTACGCGTAACGAAATGACGGCGTGTGAGAAATAAGTCGGGGTTTCTCTACCAAGTCTTTTCACTTTGAACTGTTGTAAAAAAAGTACAATAGATATCAATATGATTCCAACAGGACTGTGCGGGCATATTCAGCGTTCAGTTAGTTAGGAGTTAGTTGGTTGACTGGCTCGTGAAAAATCGTGGCAATCATTTGGCGAAACGTGCTTTCGAGGGAAAAGCGTTTAAAGTTTCACATGCAATTTATTCAGTCGTAACAACAAAATCGCGTCACCTAAATTTTATCAGCGATATCAAAGCCATACATTATTCCCTCCTCTTTCCCGTAAAATCCCGTATTCTGCGATCTGGTCCATCTTGCGAATATTTTTCACCTCTCGGAGTGCGCCGCCAGTCGCTCGCCTCTCGGATCGATAAATTAGCTCTTGGTTCTTTTGCAAAGGACATTATATTTCCAAGTTGGTGATTATTCCCATATATCGCGCAATCTTCTTTGTATCACCGTAACTGCGTCATAAAAACATGTGCACCTTCGATTTTTTAATTCAAGGGTTCAAGTTTAATTCAAGTTCAATCACAAAATTCACATTTTGTAATTGAAGACGAGAGAAGGGCTCCGAGAAGAATCGCGAGCGCGATCGATCGATCGATCGATCGGTTCCCTCGTCGTGAAGGAACAAGCGAGAGGAGAGACGAGACCTTCCCCGCGAGGCTAATACGAAATTTCGCCGGCCGGGTAAAAAAAAATGGAGGAAGATGCGGCGCGACGGAGCGAGATGGGGGGAGAGAGACAGAGAGCGGGCGACAGCGGCGGGACAGGGGCAGGGGGGCAGGTGGGTGGCAGGGTTCTCGATTGCGCGAAATTCCATTCGAATCGATCCCGACGCATTTCGGGCCGCACGTATGCACAAAGCGGAGCGGCAGCGGGGCGGCAACGCGCGTCACCAGCGCGCGGGCGGATGCAATTTCGTCACGGAGATCGCAAAAATTCCGCGCGTCTCACTTTTACGCCGCCCGCACCCCTGTCGCGTCCCGTTCCTCTCCTTGCGCGCGCTTTATCTCCTCTTGTTTTATTTTTTCGCGTTTTTAGACAGAGTACGCAGACTTACGCGTCTCCCGACGCACGACAGCCGCGCGTGCATCGACGACGACGAGTGAATCGCGCGCTCGCCTTGTGTACTCTGCGTCTCTACACACAACACATGCGCACACATGCTGTTGTGTGTGTGTGTGTGTGTGTATGCGCGCGAAAGAGAGAGAGAGAGAGAGAGAGAGAGAGAGAGAGAGGAGAGAGAGAGAGAAAGCGCGCGTGGGGTTTGCTGTGTTTGGATAACGCGATAACGTCGTTAAACTTTTTGTCGCTTTGCCTGACGAACGTGACAGGTGGACCGCCCAGGTAAACTCGATTTCGGAAACAATAAGATTTATTTTTCCGCACGTGCGCTGCGCTACGCTCCCCACGTACCGCTGGCTGGCCGCCGCGACGCGGAGCGAATCACACTACGTCCGTAAAACGTGCGTAGACGCGCGTTATGCGGCGCCGGGCCGCGCCACTTATGTTTATATGCGCGGATCGTGCGCGACGCGCGTGCGATTCCCGATGGATGCGCGGCGGCAAGGAGGAGAGAGCGAATCGAAGAGTAAGAGCTGCGAAGCACGTTTCTGCTCAACGGTAAGATAGATCGATCGCTGCTTTGTTTGTGACGACGCTCTGGGAGATGGTCCTTCTCAAACGTAGGCGCGATTAATTATAATGTAGAGAAAGCTATAGACAGAAGAAAGGACATTAACACAAGAAAGGTACGAATGAAAGGTGTGGAATGAAAGGTACCAAAGTGCAGTATGAAAGATGTACGAGAGTGAAGAAATAAAGCAAGTACGAAAGAAATAGAAATTTAATTCCGCAGACAGCGCGTCGCGCGTAAGAATGTCTGATGAAGGTAAACTGCGAGAAAAGTAAACTGAAGCGAGCCAATATTGTCAGTTTACCACCGCTGAATGTACATCGATTCGCATCATTCATTGAAAAAGACTGTCACATTATTCGCTCCTGTCGACAAATCGTTTCACAGGATTTCTTCCCGCTGCAAGAGTGGGCTCTCTCTCTCTCTCTCTCTCTCTCTCTCTCTCTCTCTCATTCGCTCCTTCTTTTCTAACGGTCTTATTGTCAAGATGTTCCTCACCTCGTTTTCTCACAGACCCCCACTACTCTCCCCTTTCGTTCGCGCAAAGTTTGCCAAAAGCTTTAAACGGGGATAACTCGACCCCGCGCGTAGACGGCGGCACGTGGCGAGACAGCTCATATGACAGCTCATACGACAGCTCTGTTGTTTCGTTTGCCAGCGAAAAACGAACTTCCGCAAATACAGCTGAGGCGACCATTTTTTTGTCCTTTCCTCTTGCTCTCTCTCTCTCTCTCTCTCTCTTTTTTCACATAACTACCGGCAACACAACGGACACAAATAACGGGGGGGAGGGGGGGAGGGCTCGGCGCGCGAGAGAGGCGGGAAAGCGAGCGTTATTTGATGCTGGAAGGCCGTTAATTGCTTAATTGAGCGAAATTGGGTTCCGATACGTGGGTTAACGTTAATTTGCGAGCATTTGCGATAACAGCGACGCGAAATAAAGTACAAGGGAAAATGTCATTGTCTACAATTAGCCGGTAATTAGTTACGCCGTGCGTAACAATCGAAGCGCTGCACAACGCGAAGCCTCCTCTCTCCCTCCCTCCCTCCCTCCCTCTCTCTCTCTCTGTCTGTCTCTCTCTCTCTCTCTCTCTCTCTCTCTCTCTCCCCTCCCTCCCTCCCTCTAGCGGCGCATTGCGCGCTCAGTGAATTCCATTTCGAAGATGGATACCTAACCATATTCCGTCGAGAGCTGTCGGCGATACGGCCGTATCCGTACTGCACCGTTTATACACACGCTCGCTTGTCCTCCTCCCGGGCGCGCCGGGTTTTCCATCGGTGCTTTTCCATCGCCAAAGTGGCGCGTAATCGGTCGCGCCGATCGATTATGCGACACGGCCGTGCAATCGCGCCGCGAAATCCGCAGGAAAATTGCCTTATCATATTCCTCCGTGCGCTCTCTCGGCTGCTGTAATCGCGCGAAATGAACTTCATAGCGATTATTCTGTACGCGCAGGAGCGCATCGACGTACTCAAATTACGCGAGCGCGCGCGCCTTCCATCCCTCTGCTCCGCTGCCACCCCCCGCCAACCGCGGGCTACGGCGGCCGAATGAAATTGAATCGCAAACCGTTCCTAGAGCGCAAATAAAAGTCACACTGTCAGCGGCGTTTCTCCTCTTCTCTCTCGCTTCCCTCCCTCCTCTCTCTCTCTCTCTCTCTCTCTCTCTCTCTCTCTCTCACACACGACTCGTTCTCAGGGGGTTGCGGCGTACGCACAGCGCCCGGGCGCAAGCTCGACGCTTCACTCCGCGATAATAAAACGGCGGTCGACGAGCGCGGAGGGGCAACGTCGAACGGCATCTAGGTATAAGCCCATAAACAAGATGATACGATCTAGATGTAACGATGTTTCCAACAAAATTAGAGGGAAACTGCAAACAACCCCGTCTCAGTTCTCGTTCATCCCCGTTTAACCCCAGTCTTCGCTCCCCTCTCGCTCTCTCCTCTCTTTCGCTCGCTCTCCCCCTCCCCTCTCGCTCCCAGTTTCTCTCTCTCTCTCTCTCTCTCTCTCTCTCTCTCTCTCTCTCTCTCTCTCTCTGCCTGCTCGTCGTCCCTCGGCTCGTCACTCTCGCGCCCGCCGCCACAGCCAGCTCGCGCGACAACCCTTCATTCGACTCGTTAGGGTGGCTGAAACACGATACCAAACAGTAATGAAAAGCCTATCCTCCACTTGGTTTCTCCTAGAGCCGTTTATGCACCGTCCTACGCGTAATGCACTCGTGCGGAGGGGGGGGGGCGTTATCGGCGCGTGTACGTGACAGATAACGCCGGCCTGTCGGCGAGCGAGCGGGTGACGTCGGACCCTGTTTATTCGACGATAGGATTAATCGTTGCGTATCCACGTAGCGAGATCTTTATGACGCTTGGCAGCCGCCAAGTTGCGCCAGACGAGAGCGCGAATTAATCGTTTTACCGGCGGGACCCGTGTGTATCCACGTCTTTTATCGCGAAGGGGAAGGGAGGGAGGGTGAGAGACAGGAAGAGATGCGTCGTCCTTTGCAACGTCGCGGATAACGCGCGCTTCCTTAGTAGACGCGAGAATCTCTCTATCATTCAGGAGCGCTGAACAGAGAGATGTTCCTTCGCGCAACGTGTCCTTGAAGGCAATTGAATAAGGATGATCGAAATAAAAATTAAGGGCTGTCAGAGCTCAAGTTTGTTGCCGACGTTTCGCGAACATTTCCGTTCCTTTCTTCAAGGAAAGGACAATCGGAAGCTGTTGATCCTTAAGCAGGATAATTGAGTAGGTTTTGGGCAGTCGAGAGATGAAAGAACCTCCAGATTCTACATTGCTACGAATGATTAGTGTGATTAGTTGGCGGTAAGGGCACGGTTTCGCCAAGGCAAGGGAGTGATCCTGGATTTATTTAAACGAAGCCTAGAAAGCCGCGTCTCTCCGCGAGAGAGACAGCGCAACGCAGCGCTCCACTTGTTGATATCCGGTCGCAACGTCCCTCCGGCCGTTCCTCGTCGTCATCGCCGTCGTGTCGCCAGGTGAATAAAGAAATCGGCGCAGCTGCAGTCCTACTTGGATTGTCACGCACGTCCAGGTTTGCTCCATCGGAGTAAACGAGTCGCAACACCAACGCCGTCGAGAGATCAAACGTAACGTCTTCGTCCTCCCTGCCGCGCCTCGTCGGCATCGTCGTCGTCGTCCGTTTGTTCCTCCCTCGGGTACCGGCAAACCGGCGGACGAAAGAGCCACGCTCGATAGAACGTGAGCGCGCGCGCGCGCGCGCGCGCCTTGTCCCGTCGCGCGTTTAATTTGCCGCACCGTACGTGAGGCACCGCGCCGGGATTTATTAGTATTTACGTAGAGCAATATGCAAAGCAGGCGACGGCGCGTCGAGTTTCTTTACTTCGAGACAGTTCGCCGCCATGGCGTGCGCGCGCGCCTCCCGCCGGTCGCTACTTTGTAATTAATTCGTTTGATTTATATCGCCAAAGGACCCGGAATGCTAATTCGTATTTACTTATTAGTCGCGCATGCGAAACTGCCAGCTGGCCCATATTGTTTTACGGCCTGTCTGCGAGACGCCGTCGTCAGGGTGCGATCCACCCTGGCGCGCCCATCGCACTCCCTCCCCCTCCCCCCCTCCCCGTCCGGAAGACATTCGTCCCGCGTCTATGCGCGATCTCACCACCCATCGCTCGAGGTTTCTACAAAGGACACCAAACAGCCGGGTAGATGCGCCAGCGCGCGTAACACGGCCGATAATTAAAGTGGGCCCTTTGTTCGACTTAGATCGATAGCTCCTTTGACGGAGACGACGGAGGTAGAACACGAAAGAAAACTATCTGTCTTCCCTCGCTTTCCCGC